ATAAATACAAAACGAATGACCTGCGACAGTCAGACGAATAAGGTGTGGTCAGCTGAGAATCAACAAACAGTAAAATTAAACCCTAAAGATGATAAACGACAAATCTGCGGTGTTACATAACAACAGGTTCGCACAACCGTTTTCAGTGTGTTGCAAAATGCGCAGAACTAAAATGTATCAGAACAAATTTAAAACAGTACTATTGCTGCATGCCAGGGCGATCATATGCAAACCAGCTGACCGGAACGAAGCAGAAGCGTCGATACGAACGTCGGCCGACGTCGAAAATGCGTATATTTCCTCGAAGACGAAAAGTCCTTTCCGACTGCAATTTACAAACGCTTAGACAAAAAGCAATGGCCAGAAACAAGCCTTACGACACAGTCTCGTCCGCGTCCTCTTGTCCAGACATAGAGCCACGTAACGAAAGCGTGACACAAATCGGATGTCAGAGACAGACATGAAAATCATTAACACCCTCTGAACACCTCCACGATGGATCGAAACTTCCGACGACCATCGAACAACTAAGGTTAAGACATTAGCGATTTGAAGTAGTACTGTAATTTGCTGTTCGTCAGTAAAGCTGATCTACAAGTACATTTATAGCGATTGACGAAGAAAGAATTGATTGAGAAATCAATGCAAGCTGACTTGCTAAACACTGGCTGGTTCGGAAATCCAACAAAATTTGTCTGTGCAAAAGATCTTGCGCCTTATTTTGCAAACAGCAGCTCTACGTATATGCGTTTTCTTACCTACAAATCCTGTTATTAATCTGTCCTTGACATCAAGTCAAGCACCGCTAAAATCGGAATTTTTCAAATATTTTAAGTCGTTTCCTACGGATAACGAAGGCGATTTAGCACTTTTTGTCATTAGCATTCCAATAACCTTGATCATTCGCTTCATCGCCACTCCCATGTATTTATTATCGTTTAGTTCACCTGCACTACAATTACTGGTAAATACTATCTTTTGGTAACATGTTTGCTTAAACTTGTAAGCGGAAGATTACCACTGCACTGGGTGAACGGTGGTGCAATTACAAGTTATGACACAGATAAGTTCTAGTGGTCATACTGTTTGATGTGTGCTTTTCATCGACGAAATATGACCTTACCTATCTGACAACCTGAATAGGTCTGCCAAACGGTAGGATCACAAGAAGGAAATTTCGCATTAATTATGGTTGCTAAGTTTACGTATTGTCGTTTTTAATTTGAAATTCAATTTTACATAGTTTCAGGTACTATCTGCGCAACATTTTTCAGATTCGAGTCCACTTCGCTTAATGATAGTGGTCATCCATCGAAAGGTAAACTGAATGACGGAAACTTTTATCTGGTATTCTAGAATTAGTGTGCACCCGGTGACAAAATCAAAAGTTATACTAATCTTCTTTTTAAACATATTTTTTAACAACCCACAATTAGGTGAATCAACTTTACCTCGTTGTTTTGCTAGTCTGCGATGTCAGAAATTATACAAGAATTTATTGGCTAAAGGAATATTCTCTGTCATGCATCGATCAAGTCTTCGATATCATACGTTGTGAATATCTTACGTTAGTCGTTGGTAAGAAAATTGTTTAGTTGTTCAGACACAAACAAATATTCGGTAGCACCATTATCAATATCGCGAATCAGTCCGCGGAAAGAATGCGAAACAGTGGTTGGTTTCAGGATTCGTTTGTTACTTTGATGAGATTGAGGAAATAAGATACGTATTCTTTTGAAAAAGTGAGACCAAATGCTTCTCTCCCATGAAAAATTTGATCTTTCTTAAACATATGCATTGCATGCGTAAAGTGTTCGATAATGACCGTACTTTGGAATTTGTTTCTTTTCCTCTCAAAAGAGGAAGACTTAATTGAACTAGCATTTGGCTTAGCATAGGAGCTCAAACTAGGCTTTAAGTTAAACTGGTCAATGTTTGAGTTCGTATGAATGGAATTAGTGCAAAATTTAAAGAAAACGTACACTGTAAGTCTTTAGACTACCGCCTGTATTTCATAAAAACGGAATCATGTCGACTTCTTTGCTTTACGCATAGTCATTGCTGTTTACAGTCAAGATTATTCATATTATTGTAGTAATATTGAAGCTTGAAGAGGAGGCGTGCGTTAAGAAGCGCTATAAATCATTTGATTTTTTGAAACAATATGCAATGAATAGGGCGATAAGCGGTACCAAGCTGAAAATTAAATATTTAATTGCGGGAAAGCCTTCATTGCTTTAAATCACCGTTTCGTTTTTTAAACGATCAACAAACACTGCCAATATATTGTAACCAATTCTGAAAACCTACGATTCAGCGGTTTTGAGCGAAAAGGCACGTGATTCATATCAAATGAGGTAGTACTGCATGAATAGTTAAAATTTCGGCCATGAAAGAACGGCTTTCTTCAGACCGATGCATATACAGAATGTTTTGTTATCAGATGCACTGAAAACGGTTGAATCAGAAATGTGGAGAGTCTACAAATTCGCATTGCAGAATCAGAATCAATTTCTGAAGTCATATACAGTAGAAAGTTAACTGATAATAATAGTAGACAATAACTGCCAAGATACATAGAGTAAGTAGACTGCCAATTTGTACATACATTAGATGCCTGTGCAAAATAAAAACTTAAGGATATGAAACCGACCTTCTAAAACTGGCTTTACTCACATCCGAAACAGTGCTTTCTGTAAACGGTTTCCACATAATGGCTCCTAATGAATTCCGTGATTTGAGGCAAATTCAGGGCTAAAAATAGTGCAGAGTATATGGTTCTTCGCACAGTAGTTTACACCAGAAAGGTTATATGGTAGGATGTCGTGAACATGCCAGATCGACTCCGCAACGTTGAACCACATATTGCTATAATGTCGAAGAAGCTTGAATGTCAGACAACAATTTCATCATCGATAAAGGTATGAACCGCCGTCATAAAAAGAACGTAATATTATAACAGCAAACGATGATCATATGCAACATATCAGGGTTCATACTAAGGCATGAAAAGCAATGAAACTACTGTCTTTGAACAACCATAGTAAACATTAGGCATTTGGTTCCTACGATTCTGTTCCTGATGAAATTTCAGTAATACATTCATTATGGATGTACCGTACATAAATAAACACATGGTGATAGATACATAGATAAAAATGATTCGAAACGGAGAATATGAATTCGATGCGCATTGTCGACTCGCGAAAGGCTTTTCGAATCATGTAACATAACAATGTATAGCATGAATTCTGCCCTGATGTTAACGCAGGCTTGCTCTGTCAATGCAGGTTACTGAATGAGAGAACTTAACATCATCCTAGATCCTTGTTGCCTTAATGCATGAATGAAAAATAGGAGAGATTATCGTTATTCAGAAGGGTAATGAATCGATATATCAGTCTACGCTTATTCCGGGAATCACCTTATCCCATTTGATAGTACATTAGTTTGTCACGGTTACCTAATGATATGATATCACTGAATGCGATGTGATGCTCAAAACACTTTGAACCTAACCTAAAAACGAAGTAATCACAGTATAATCGAAGCTAGAATATGGGCGTTTCTTTGTATATTCGCCAGTTTAATCATGGCACATTTTTATGGCCGCAAAAAATAGCAAAGAACGCGCTACGTTACAAAGTATGATAATAACGGACATTAGTCATAATTTAAAGACATTTCTGAAAG